CTGGTTGATGCCTTAATCCCAGCAGCAAGAAGAAGATGAGTGTGAGATCAAAGAGAGAAATAAGAAAAGTAAGAACTCACACTGCAGTCTCCCCCTTAGAGATGAGACTCTAAATATTTCACCTATCTCTGCACTTGTTTTCACAACACTTGATGGAAGTTCCTGTCTATGAAATCTCCACTCTTGTCAAGCTTACTTGAAGCCACACAGCAGAATCAAAAGTTATTGGGGCAAGGACTAGGACAGAGAGCTAGCAACCATATATGCCTCACTGAAGAAATCATATTAGAAGTAATACTGCTCCTTATTTACTTCCACACTATGGAATTTGTGTGGTCAAATGGCTCAATTTCTGAAAACTTTTGTTTCCTGCTGTTCACTATTAAAAGGTCTTCCTGCCCAAAGTCTCATGTATGCTTTTGAGATGTTGTATGAACCACATGATCCAAAAAGGATTTCTTAGTTTTAAACCAGGTCATGACTCCAGTAACTTCCATATTCCCAGCTGAGAAGAACACAGATCTCACCACCAGCAGTGACACTACAGCTTGTGAGCTTACAGAGGCTGCACACCAGCCCAGTGACTGTCCCAATGACAGAACTCTTTGCAAGTCACTCATGCTTAAGCAAAGCAGGAGCACTGCTCATCCTCTCAGCAGAGAGAAGGAAGATTTATCATTCTCTTTTTCAAAACTCTTTAACCTAGCCACTGGGTTCTTGCTAGACTGACTTCTACCCTGCAAGGGGACTATTTTAAAATAAATACTTAAATAACAGTATTCCTTTTAAAAGAGAGGTTTAACTTTAAACAGGGTACCTCAAAGAGGAAATTACTGCTTAGTTTTTTTTCATGTTATTAACACACAGCATTTATATAATTTACATCAGATTTCACATTGGCAGAGCATATTGTGTTCCAAGGAACAAAAAAATCCAACAAAAATCCCAAAACACATTGCAGATGTATAGGCAGTTGAGGCCAAACTGATTGAATTTGAAAAGAGGCCACTTCTTGGGTGATACATGGCAACCATCTACACTAACCAAAAACTGTAAGCCTGTTTGTTTGCAGGAGTGAAGCAAAGTCAAAGCCTGCAATTTGAAACAGAAAGATCAGCACTGAACAATGCTTTCCCCACAGAGATGTCCTCACAGCTTAAGGATGCAGTGCAGTCAACACCAAAAATGTGCTGAACCCTGCACTTTACTGACAGTATGATTTATTCTATATTACATGGGTTTGATGGCAAAGCTATACCTGAGTAGCATTTACTGGTGAAGGAGAGTTTAAGAAAGGTCTTAGTCAAAGATTAATATTAAAGTATTGAGACACGGCTGAGCTTCTGAAGACAATCCAAAGTTTGTTCATGCAAGCAGGCAAGGAGTAACTGTGGAGTATCTATGAAGCTTTAAGGACATCTTTGTGCATTTTGCTTAAAAAATTACCAAGGTCACATGTCAGTCTGGGATGGAGGCTGAAAAGTGCCACTCTGGGGTGTCTGAGCCCACCTCTGCACGTCCTGAGCACAGAGGGAAGTGCCAAACTTGACTGTTGGGTTTGCATTGACCATTTGTGTGTTTGTGTGTTTTCAGTTCCATACATAGCCTGGGATGGATGCCATTCTAATAATAATCTTCTGCACAACCTGTACAGCTTTAAATTCAACTTCCCTTACTGAAATGCCACAGCTCAGTCCAATAGGCACTTATGAGGGCTATCATTGGCCAAAAAAAAAAAAAATGTGGGAAAGTAGAAACATTACTGGCGCTTCCTTAGACCAGACTCATTCAAAGTAAAAGTTATATGCAAAAGGTAGAAAAAAAAAACTGAAAAAGAAAAAAGTGTTCTTGTATGCAAGTCTGCAAGCTAAAAAGGACAGTACTTGAATATGGCCGAGAAACTGGATTTAACAAAGAACCTCACCTATTGTGAGGTAAGGAAGGAAAGCCAAGAATAACAGTCAGAATAATATAAAGATCAGTAAGTTTTTGTTCAGAAACTGAAACATCATAAAAGTAAGTCAGGAAAGCACTTACTATAGAACATAACCCTCTCTTTCATGAATCCCCTTCTACAGATGTACAACAAAAGCCATATTTCCATGCTGAAACATGCATACAGTACCTCTGAATTCTCTAACATGCCAATCAGGAGCAAAGTGAAAAAAGGAAGACAAAGGAATAAATTAGGATAAGCACAACACAGAAGACTCAAATATTAAGTAAGATTCACTCATATTAATTAACATTTCTTTTAAGAAAAACATTCAAGTATATATAGCAAACACAGCACCTTAAAAAAAAATAAGCTCAATAAAGCTAATTCTAACAGCAAAGGTGGGAGAAGCCATGGTTACAGAGCAAATCTGATACCCTAAAGCATCACCAAAACACAATTCTTCCTCAAGAATCGTTCACTGACAGTCAGCTCCTACTCCCACAGCTGTCAGTGACAGAAGCAGCCAACGTCAGAAGTGTAGGATTCAGATATTTAAAATAAGAAAGGAGGAAGCAAGATTATTACAATGGAGATTAAAAATAGCATCTTATCCTTCCTCCCATAGGAGAATTAATTTCCTAGTCTATGCAAACACTTCAAGCATTGTCCAGATGAGCTGAATGGAGGTAAGTCTTCTAACACTGCCTAGCACATCAGGTAAAGATCTGAATGGGGATGTCCTGGTCTCATGCCTGTACTCAATCTCAGAATCTATGGAGACAACCTTCTGTCCTATTTTCTCTGCTCTATTTTTGAAGCTCCTGAGTCTTACAACTTCTTGGCTCCCCATCAGCATCAGCTTCATTGGAAAAATCTTCTTTAGCAACATACTCCCTCCATCTGTCAGGCTTGTGGGACAAAAGGTAGGGAAAAGGAATCTCATACTGACTTCCACAGTGGGCTGGGTTCCTCTTCATAGACCATAAATCCAGCATTCACTGCTTCAAAAAAAGCCCAGCACTTCTCCACGTGCACTGCAGAGCACACAGCAGGCCCAGAGGTAGCTGAAGGCTTCGGCAGTTCCCTTTTTCTATCAGCCAGAAAACCAAAGCACTAAATAGAGGCTGCTCAGAATAAGACGTGGGAGAAAAACTGATCAGAAGTATCTGCTCCTCCATTTTCTACAGAAATCTGAAATGTCTTGAAGTTCTTTTCCTTTTCCTCCCCCTTTCTAGGTCCATCCCTTTTCATGATACTTTTCCTGGTGCTGTACTAGGCATTTCTCTCTTCTGACCAGCACCCTACAAACTGCACAGACCAGCAAGCACAAAGCAGAGCTGATCTCTGCAAAGCTGGGCCATACCCTGGTGCTAATGGGAAAATCCAAACTTCTTGGGTAATCTTGCAGGAGTTCCAGTGCGCTCTTGGTATCAATATGGGTTGCAATTTTAAACAGGTGTCTTTTTTGGACAACTCTACATGAATTAAGTAATTTCCAGCACCCAACAAATTACAGGATTTTGCACCTAGGGTGCTTGCTCTTTTGAAATATCCTTGCCTTCTCCCATGCCTTCAGAATAAATCACTGAACAGGAGGTGTTTCTCTAAGCTCAGAGAATCCGTATTCAGTGTTGCAATGCACTTATGAGGAAGAAACCCTCTCTGCTGATGAGCCTTTTGTTTTCATGTAAAGTATTTTTAGCCTCTCCAAGTCGTACATATTTAGGCTATAAATCCAGTTCCCGTGTTGCTGAAGTACCGATCAGACGATTAAGCCTCCCCTCGGTGGAAGAGCCCAGCCTAGTGGCAGGAAAATGAAACGTGTGCCTGTCCCACTTCTTCACTCCTGTCACGACACAGCCCGACACAAACCCGCA